AGCGCGGCCGGATGGCCCGGCTCCGGGGTGCGCTCGCAGAAGAGGCCCAGGCCGGCACCGCGCTCCAGGGCCGCGCACGGCCGGTAGCTCTGCACCAGGTGCCGCAGGTCAGAACCCGCCAGGCTGCTCCACGAATACGGCTTGAAGGGCAGGTGGAAGGGCTGGGCTTCTTCTAGCGACTGGCACATCGACTTGTCCGAGGCTGTGGAGGCACAAAGGGCGTCCGGTCAGCCTTGAGACGGCGGGCGAAGGCCGCCCGGCGGCGTCTGCGGGCACCCAGCACCTGCAGAACAGGCTGTGTGCCGGGTGGGGACCAGGGACTCCTCAGGGTAACACGCGGGTCGGGCCTCGGGGCCTGGCGGGGCAGGGCAGCAAACTGATAATCAAAATGACATCAAGTGAGGAGACAGGTAAATTCCCTGCGGGGTTACTGGGATCGCTCGGTGTTTCGAAGATCTTCTCTGGCTGGACCCCCGCACCTTGCGATCCTGTAGGGGAAGGCGCGTCAATAAATGGCCTGAGTTGAGCCGCACCCGAGGAGAAGACGGCGGCCGTTCGAGCCCCGGACAGCGCTCGTGGACGGAGGGTTCAGCCACCAGCGCAGGCACTCCCCCAACCCCTACGTGTTCTCACTCAGTCTTTTTCTGCCCGGGATCGATGAGGAAGGAGGGAAGGGACTAATAAAATGCGGCCCCGTACTACCCGAGACATATCTATCTGAAAAAACCGGAAGGTGTTAAGGATCCTCACAGTGCCCAGTGCAGGTAACAAAGAGCCAGTTGGAAGTGGGGTTTAGGCTTGAAGTGCCTGCCAAATACTTCCCGTGCCCATTCCTGCTATAATTTGTTGGGGAAGGGGACCCGAATTTCTCGGAGAATAATTTTACAGTTGAAGTTTAGCCATCACCTGCAAGGGGAATAGCTCTCTGAATCCTCAGGCTGGTGCACCCCACCCACCTGACTTTTGCTAAAACTAGATACCCAACGTATTTGAGCGCATACGCATTTACAAATCTGTTCACACGCACACACTGAGACTCCAGTCTAGGCGGCCAGCTTCAGGGAGAGATTGCACCTCGAGTTTCCGTCGGAGGTGTCCCGGCAGGACCCAGTCCTTGCCGGGCAGTGTGTGCACTGCCAGGAAGATCGTTCAAGGCCGCCGGCTCCCAGACACACTCGCTGGAGCTATGACTTTAGCCAAGTCAACTCGCTGTGTGTGGGACGGGTTGTAGGGGTGGGGATGGGGTAGGGAGAGGGGTGGTATCTTTTAAAGTTAGTAAATGTAATCTGGAAATAACCGGCCCTCGGCAAGATCCGGTTGGTTTGCTCCTTCCTTCTCCCAGCCTGGACCCGTGACTCGCCCCCACCCAAGGTGCAGTCACTTGGTTTGCGCGAAGCTCCTTTGCTCGCTGGAAATGAAACCCAGCGGGCTGGTCCCCGAGGCTGGGCCAACCTGGCAGAACGAAAAATGAAACAGCCCCCAATCCGCGCCTGCGAAGACCGAGCCGCGGACTGAGATTTTCGTCCCGGACCCCTCCCTTCCGCCTGGCGCCTCGTTGTGCCAGGCCCAGACTGCGCTACTCTCCATTTGCTTGAGGCTCGGGCGTCCGGATGCTGGGATTCCAGCAATTTCTAAACAATCAACTCTGGTCAGAAAACGAAACGTCGATGTAGCTGCCAGTCGAGGCGACTGGTTTGTTTCTCTCACGGGCCAGCTCCGCACAAACGAATGTAAGGGACGAACAGCCAGTGTCCCGATGCCTTGAATGGAGGCAGCGGACCCGGCGGGCAAGCTGTCCCAGTCCCAGAGAAGCTAGATGTTTTCCCATGGGGCCCCCTTCCCGATGAACAAGTTCCCTCCTCACAGAAACTCTCCGCCACCCACTGAGCAAGGTCGCGCGTGTTCCCTCCGCATCACCGTCCGGGCGGCCCCTGCCCCAGGAACTCCCAGCGGGTCCCTACCTGGAGACACGGAGGGCGACGGAGGCCTCCAGAAGTCCTCAAACTCGGAGCTCCGATCGCAGACGCTGCCCTCGCAGCTGTCCGGGGACGTGGAGGCTCTGTCGGGGGCCTCGGTCAGCTGCGACTCGGGGGACAAACGGTCCTGGGGCTCCGCCTTCGCCCCGCCTGCACTCGAAGTGCTGTCTGCGGGGAGGAGGCAGGAGAGGGGCTCAGGCTGGGCCGGGTTGAGCCCAAGGGTTCTGAAGCGGCGCCCCCAGACTGTGGCACCAGAGCGTTCTCCCTTCTCCGCCCAGACCCGGCCAGTAACCCTCAGGGATCCGAGGGCGAGCGTAAAGAGGTCGTGGCACCTGGGCGACAAGCCCTAGAGGAACCAAGAGATTAGGAACCAAAAATGGCAACGAAAGAAGTCTGAGGTCACCCCTCCCTGTTCCCGTGGAATAATGTGGCGGGGTGCAGAGTCGGCGAACCCGGGAGCAGCCCCGCCTGGCTCGCGCACGCCTCGCACCTGCCCGGCCGGGCGCCGGTACATTCTCCAAACGGAGGGAATAGTCTGGTCCGGGGGAGCGCGGCTGGTGGTAGCTGTGAGCCTTCTTGCTCTTAACGAGGAATGAGCGCGGCATGGTGGCCCGGCGCTCGCCCCTCTCTGCTCCAAGGGCTCCTAGAGTCGCTGTCAGCCCACGGTCACTCCGAGTGCTTGCTCAGCCCTGGCTCGGCGGAGACCTGAGAGGGTGGGAGAACCGGAGCAAACGCGGCTCAGCACCCTCCGGGGCCGGAGTCTGGGCCCCCAGGCGGAGAGCGAACGCAGACCGGGGAGGAGCGAAGAAGGCCCGTGGGAGGAGGAGCTTGGCCCATGCTGAGCCGCGCTCACCAGGTGGCACTCGGACAGGTGGCGCAAGCCCGCCGCCGCCGCCTCCACGACCACAGCTCGGCGGTAAAACTTGTCCCAGGGCCCTAGCTCAGGCCCCTTTCTTCTGCCCTGCCCACGCCCATCGGTCCCTCCCCTTCCCTAGCTAAGTTAGCTCCTGCAATCAAACTCTCCGGAGAGCTGTAGTCTCCAACGGGTCAGCTACCCCAACTCGGCCACCCACCACCTGGCTGGCTCTGCTTTAGGGCTGGGGAGGGAGAGCGGGGACCCACGGAGCAGTTTGGAGGCCAAGGATGCGTCAGTGGTCGAGGACCCGGAAGGGACAAGGAGCCAAGACTTCCAAGAGCCGGATGCAAACTGCAGTGAAAAGGGGGCAGGGGTGGGGCGCACTAGGCAGGACTGAGCGGCGGGGTTGGGGTTGATAGCAGGAGAGGGACCGGGGCAGCAGAGGCTGGAGAAGGGAGGCGGGAGGGTAGAGGGACAGGAAGGTGAAGGGGGTGGCAGAAGACCAACCCCGGCTGGGGCTAGAAACTCGCATCCGGGTAATCCCGCTTGCTCCTCACTTGTGCCCTACGCGGGGGAAAAGTTGGCCTCGGAGCCAGGGGTGCGGGGGGCCCTGGTCCAGGCCGCGGCGAGACACCCCAGACCGTGGAGACCTAACTCGGAAACCAGGTCCCGGGAAAAAGTACTTTCCATTCTGCTCACCAAAAAGTCTTGTCCTAGTTAAGTCGAGCCCGATCCGCTTGCGCTGGGTAGGAAACGCACGGTGTCCCGAGTCAGTGGAGCATCGACAGTTTAGCGGACACGTAAGATGGGACGTTGAAGCGCGCAAGCTGCTCTGCGGGGGCCAGAGAGCCGGGGTCGGGGTGCGAGCCTGGGAGGGAGCTAGCTGCCCGCTGCGTCGCTCTCATTAACCCCCAATCAGTTCACCTAATCCCGGATCGAAACCTGAGCCTGGAGGGGAGGCGGGGCTGCGCCTCCTGCTCAGCTCTAGGCCCGCTCCGGGGGCGGGACCCTGAGGCCGAGCGGTCTGGGGTAAACGAACGTGCTTCCTCTCCGGGTCAAGGCGATGGGGGCCGTGTTCACTTGGCGAGCTGCAGCCTCTTCGGGCACAGCAGCTGTGGCCTCGGCTGGTTCAGAAACAAGGGGGCTGGGGACGCCCAGCCAGAGCAGGACTCCTCGTCCTCCGGCTTTGCGCGATTTAGACGCCGGACGAGGAGCCGCTCGGCTCCCAGGGCAGGACGCAGGAAACAGCCTAAGTCTGTCCGTTAGCGCTCTCGGCTCAAAGCGAGTCCTCCAGGACTCAGTCCCTGCAGGGCGCGCGCCTCCTGCTCCACATCCCCAGCCCCACTGTGTCCTTCTCCCCAGAGAAGGAGTGGGGACAGGCCTGGGAGAAAAGACGGCCAGGACATGTCGCGGGGGCTCCCAGCGACGTTTCTCGCTACTTAAGGGCCAGAACGTCCCTAAGGGTAAAAGTGCCTCCCGCCTCTGCCCAGGTTGGCTCCCAGGGCGGGGGCTCTGCCGCTTCAGTTTTTCCGGCACTCCTCGCCGGAAAACTAGACGCCACAAACGCAAAAACCAATTCTTTAAACAACCATGAAACTCGGAAGAAAAGGAAAACGGTGTGAAGCAGTCCGGAGGGCCCCGCTGCGACGTGGACCCGCGTCAGCTGGGAGCGGGACGAGTGGGGGGCGGGGGAGCTGTCCACGGCCACGCTGGGTCTGGGCTGGCAGGGACCGCGCGCGGGACAAGGACGCGGAGGCGGCGTCCCCACACGGGCCTCAAACCCACGTCTCTTTCGCACCCTGGCCCGCTTTGCTGGCTCCTGGCGGAGGGTGGAGGGAGAAGGGGTAGTAGGGCCCAGGGCCGAACGCGTGGGAAGCAGACCTCGCGCTGCAGCTGGCGGCCGGGGGGCGGGGCCGCACCCGCGCACGCGGGCCCGCGGGGCCTCTCCTCGTGGTCTGGGCCAGGGAGGGCGGGAGCTGAAGGCGCTGAGGGGGCGACCTCCCGAGTCCACCTGCCGCCGCCTCCCCACCAGATGTTTCCTTCCCGTGTGGATCCCGCTCCGCTGAGGAACCACCAAACCACGGGTGCGCGCCCCGTACTCCAGATTCTCAGCCCGGCTGTGCGGGTCGCGCCCGAACCCAGAGGCCAGCAGCAGGTGGGGGACCCGCCTGCACCCTCTGGCCGCCCCCACAGTGCCGGTGCCCAGTCAGTCCCCGCGGCCGCCCCCGCCAGGGCGGGAGGCGCAGAACAGGCTCAGCGAACCTACCTGCGGGGTCAGGGCGCGGGCATCGCGCTCCGAGAGTTTTCAAGCTGAATCTTGCTTTCGGGAGAGACCGCTCTGTCTCTCTTTTTTTTTTTTAATCTCCTTCCTAGCTCAGCCCCCAAAACCACAAGCTTCACTTCCTGAGCGTTACAGAGCAGCTCGCGTAGCCCTCTCAGACCTGCCCCCAACCCCCAGGCGGGCGGCCGGGCGCGCTCCTTTGCGCAAGTGGTTAGGGGGTGGGCGGGGGACCCGGCCTCTGCAGCCCGCGTCCCGGGCGCCCCTTCGAGGCCCTCCCGTTTATTCTCTGGGGGACGGCGGGGGATAGGGAACCCGGGGGCCCGGACACCCAGGCACTAGAAGTGATTCGAT